ATACATATATATATANATACATAGTATATATATATACATATATATACACACACACATATATATATATATATATATATATATATTATGTTTGTACAGACACTCATAAATGTATATGGAATATATATACAGTGATACGATCTGAAAGGAGAACGTCAACTGGCCTATTAATTAACAGATACAAATCATACCGTTTCCGGCAAAAACGCGGTCATGGGTGCGTCAATACCCCTGTATCCTTTCACACATACTCGATAGCCCGCCTTCCTCGCTACCACGCCTAACCTATGTACGTATGCATTTGCTGATTTTCCTACAACACCCGGCAGTATGAGCAAGATAGGTGCTTCTTTGACCCAATTTAGATCCGCGCCTAATGGGGTACTATTTGACCCGAATTCTTCACTGACCAGTTCATAGCCGTCGTGGTTTGCCCAGTCCAGTTGCACTATACCCCCATCGCTCATAGTTAGTGTTTCGCGCTCAAATTGTAGCGCGGAATCCTTTCCTACGTTGAACACTATACTAAGAGGCCAATAAGCAAACATTACCGACTGCGTATGTCCCGAGAGACCCCAAAACGTGGGCCGATACTGCGATAACGAGCTTTCAATCACCTTTAATATAGCGATATTCTCTGCGTTTTTTTTGCAGGTAATTTTGACATTTTCCACTATATTTTCTTCATAGTACTTGGGTCCAAAGTGAGATAGGAATAGGCAAGCGGCACACGCTGTCATGATCTTCTGGGCCTGCACAGACCAGAGTTCAACACTGAACACCATAGAGTATACAATTGCAGGTGCAAACAGCAATACCAATGTGCCTACTAACGTAGGAGTGGATAACGATGAGAAGCGCACGGTATGCTCGCTCTCCACCCTGGGTATACTTGTGTGTACAGTTTTATGTTTCATATTGAATACTGTCTGTAACTAGCTTTTCTGATATTCACTATTCAAGTAGTCATATATATATATAAAGAGAGAGAGATATATATATATATATATGTGTGTGTGTGTGAGTGTGTGAGAGAGTGTGAGTTCCTATTAGCACGGCTTCGCGAACGGACAGCTTCCTAACGATTTCTTAATTATGATGCGGGCTTCAACGGCAGCTAATGTTATTGTAGAGTGTATGTGAATAACACTGGCTGTACTAATGGAATGATTTCACAAGGTGCTTTTATCTGTACGTGTATATGCTAAATTAATTATAAATGTACGCGTGATGCATAGTTATCGCCGGGCTACATGCCTACATACCTCACTGTCCTCAGTTCGTTCCTCGTTTTAGAACGTTTTAGAACGTTTTAGAAATCATTATTTTTTGCGTTCAAGTTGTGAAAAACGTATAAAATCAAATCGCTATTGCATTTACGTTCAATGGTAACGAGTTTATAGTTTATATTGCATGACACCTTATTTGAGCTTTTAGGACTCGCCTACTGCAACAAGTGCATAGCATAGACTCTTAATTTAAAAAAGGCATAGCCTCCTATAAATGATGACACAGCATAGCGCTGCGGCCCTCTCTAGAAAGTCACTAGAGTCACTCTACTCTCGCTACTAGTAGAGACCCATATGTAGCATCCTTCTTGTGCAAATGGCTATAGTATTCAGTTGGCTATTTAGGGGGAAATCGGGGTTTTCTGTTTGTTCCTGTGGTGCTCTTTTCCGTCAGTACATATGTCCTATGTATGTATTTATGTATGATACATATTTCCCAGATTTTTGCAGTCATCACAAATGACAGGGGGTGTCCTTAGGTCTCTTGGACAGGGGTGTACATATTTATTAGTTCTTTTTTCCCAAGCCTATTTCTTTCTGAAAACGGTTTAAAGTGTGAATTTTCAAAACGTTATCGAAATCGATACCTCTAGAGTTCTCGAACGTTTTTTTTTAAATATTATAGAACACTTTATGGCCCATTGGCTCTGCGAGTCATTTGTTGGCGAAGGCCACATTTAATTGGACACAACAAAGACAAATGTGGATTGTGATGAGCTGTTGCCGTACAATCTGTAGTATTTCTGTTATATTCTAAAAATGAAAGTATAGTTTTCCGCATCCAAATAAGAATCAAGTAAAAGTGGCGCCTTGAGTGCTGTCACATGACGTGTATTTACATGGCCTCCTAAAATTGAACACACATAGACAGTAGACACACACGATAAGTAATTAAAATATAAACTCCTTGTCACCACTTCAGTGCGCTCACCACTCACCACACAATAAAATAGTCATAAATACTATGCTGCATACGTCTTCTCTGAGATATGGTTTCATCTGGCGCAACAAAAGCAGCACAGCTGCGCAAAAGAAGTGAAAGAACGCGTCTGGCTGCTCTATTTCCAAATGGTTAACACAGGAGATATCACACAGCTGCTACCTTCTTCCCCAATACTGGCACACATCTGACAGTAGTTGCAAACAATATACCAGATATACACAACGTGAGACGGGAATTGAAAGAATAGAGAGATAGAGTATACAACTCTGAATCTACTCCATCAAAAAATAATTGAGTCGACGCAATATGCAACATATATAGTTACAAGTGTATAGCGTATTGGTTTCGACTATACGTACACACGAAGATATTATAATATGTATTATGTTTTATTAAATGAACAATTTATATAAAAAAAGTCTACAATATTATCATCGTAACGAGCTTCGTTACATTTATCGTAGTCTACATCCACATTCCTCACATGACTGCATCTGGTGTATTGTCGGGATTTCTCTGCTATTCTAAATTATCCGATATTGAGTAATTCTTACACCAGACAATAACAATACAAAAATCATGTCTGAACACACACGCACACACACGCACACACACGCAT